GCCCGGCCACAGAACCTACAAATCAGCCTCGTCCGATTTCTTGCACATGGGTGCCGAGTTAGTTGATGATAAAAGATACTGGCCCCCTTTGCAGTCCTCGAAGCATTTAACACACCCGCAAGCATGAAGGCTGTGCCATACTTAAGGATGCTGCCTCCACAGGGAGCAGGTGGGGTGACCAGAACCCCACAAAGCCCCAGACTCATCGACAGCAAGGGATCTTGGGTAGAGGAGGTGTCCATCAGGGACCAACAGCCGCGTGTAAAGAATGGAACACGCCTAGAGTTTTAGGTGTGCGGACTCTGCTCTGGGGCAGACTCGGCCAGGAGGGGGCCTGCTGCCTCTGCTCACTGCGCTCTGGCTTTCACCCAGGGTCAGAGGGGCAGAAACCCCTCCAGGGCCACGGCGGAGCTGACCCCTAACCAGAACTTTTGGCCAAAGACCTTCCTGGTGGCTTAAGCCTTCCAGGTTCTGCCATTTGGGCTGCAGCCCCTTCACTCCTCATCCGCTGACTTTCCATTGACCCTCGCTGGAGAGACGAGGCAAAAAGTGTTGGCTGATGGGGAAATACTTGGCATATGAGCACGTCGGCCCTGCGTCTTTACGCTTTACCCTGGAGACCGACGTTGGCTCAGGGCTTTCCATGTGTGTCCGCTGGCCACACGCCCACCGCCCGCTGCACTGCCGGGGGCCGGGCCGGCCTGTGGAGCCCCCACTTCCCTCTGAGCCCCATCTGGCTGGAGCCCCTCTTGGCCTCATTGGCCTGAAATCTCAGCATCCTTCCGCTGGGCCAGTGCCCACGAAGAAAACGCGAGACGAGAGATGTGGCAAGGCGATTTCCTAATATGAGAACGACTGTGATAGGGTCCACGTGTCATAAATTCACAATTTTAAAGTGTACAAATCAGCCAGTTTTAGAATAGTCCCAGAACTGTGCAACCATCACGTTCACTGACTTCGGAATGTTTTCATCACTCCGGAAAGAAGCCCCGCACCCTTCTGCGGTGTTTCCCTGTTTGCCGTTGTTCCCCTCCCCCCGCCCCTGGCAGCCGCTCATCTGATTTCGGTCTCTGTTTGTCTGTCTGGTCTGGACACTGCGCGTGAGTGGACTCATAGGACAGGCGGTCCTTTGCGACTGGCCCCTTTCGCTTCGCGTGTTTTCGGCGTTCGTCCGTTTTCTGGCATGCGTCAGGACTTCGTTTTGTTTGTTTGCCAAATAACGTGCCATCGCACGCATTCACAGCAGTCCGCGTACCCACTCAGCAGCTGGTGGACACGTGGGCGGTTTCTGCCCTTTGGCTATTGTGACTAATGCTGCTCGGAGCATTCCAGTACAGGTTTGTGTGTGGACATGTGTTTCCAGTTCTCCTGGGTGTGGCCACGTGGTTTTTAAAGGTAGAAGTGCTCCAAATTTAAAATCAGAGCCTGCTTCCTGAGGTAGCGGATCTCAGGCAGGTCACTTAACCTCTCTGTGTAAGAGGCAAAGCTGGATGCTGACACCCTGGACACCCCAAAGGATTACTGTGGGATGGGATAACAGATGTGAAAGTGTTCTGGAAATTTTAAATGCGCCTTGTAAAGTGACGGTCGTATTTCATCCATGAGACGACTTAGAATTTTTTTTAAGTACATGATTGGTTTCAGACTTGAGCATATGACCTAGAAATGTCACAGATATTGAAGCCAGAAGGATTGTGGGTGGAGAAGGCTGAATATGACAGTTGAAAAAGACCAGTTATTATTTCCAAAGCTTGGCCGTCTTCCTATGCTGCAAGGGGGCGGGGAAAGACATGACTATCCAGACATAGCGTGTATGTGAACAGAAAATCGAAATACTGCAAAATGGGAATTCTCACCAAGTTACGTTATACACATGATAAACTTTTAAAATTCTTCCGATATTATCTAGTTGTTAATTCTCTTTCCAGAATATTCCCTCAGCCTTTCTGGTCTAAGGGAGGCCTGGCTGTCCCTAAAGGACCCGGCTGCCTCTGCGGCCCTCTCGGGGAGGCATGCAGCTGGGTCACGGGGCTCCCTTCTCATTGTCACTTCCAGGCCATTCTCCCACCCTCCCCTGACACGCCCCCATTTCATCAGCTGGGGTGGCCCACTGCCCTCAGTGTGACCGCTGTCCACCGTGTCCACCGTCTTTCCAGGCCCCCGCCAGGGCAGCCACGCACTGAATGGCATCTGTCTACTCTGCCTTTCCAGCAGATCCTGCCATAGGCGTTCTGAAGCGGAGACCTGGGGCTGGGTCGTGCGCCTCACTAGCAAGGACGTCACCCCGTGTCGCCCTCCTCCCCGCCTAGCATCCCATTTCCTTTACGGCTGGGCCATTCCCTTCGACAAACAAATAGGCTATTGTTTCCTATCTTAAAAGCAAATCTTAAAAACAGAATTGGGCTGGGGCCCTACTTCCCCTGCCGCCAGCTACAGCAAACCTCGCTTCGAAAGGTAGCTGTGCTCACTGCCGGCCATTTCTCTCCTCTGCTCTCTTACACGCTAGTCAATCCCTCCATCCCATCTGTCCACGGAAGGCCAGCATCGCTGCCGCACTGCGCACGGCCAGACAATGGTCAGGTCTCAGTCCTCCCCTGACTTGTCTCGGCAGCGTTTGACAGAGTCTGTGACTCCCCGACCAAGACCCATTATGAACACTTTTTCTTCGCCTGGCTTCCAGGGCCCTGCTGTTTGGCCTCTACCTCACCGATCACAGCTCGGCCCCTGTGCTGGATGCTCCTCCCCAACCTCTCGCCACTGAGGAAGCCAAGGCGGAGTTCTCGGCCGCTTCTCCCCTCTCTCCAGACTCACACCACGTCTCGTAAACACCGTCTACATGCCAGCAGCCACCGACTGATATTTCATGCACAAACCTCTCTCCTGGACTCGAGACTTGAATATTCAACTGCGTCCTTGACCTGCACTCGATGTCCAACTGGCACTTCAAACTCAAGACGTCCGGAACTGAACTCCTGATCTCCCCACCCGCAAACTCCGCCAGGCCTTAAACTCTCTGCTTTTATCTCCTCGCTAGAAAATAGAGTTCATAATAGCACCGGCTGGAGTGACGGTGCCCGGGGTGCTGTCTATGAACTACTCAGCCTCTTTGTGCCTAAGTTTCCTCATCCGTCAAATGGGAATAATAACATCAACAGCCCTCACGTCACAGGAGCGTTGTGAGGTTATTATATCTCAAGCACTTAGAACAGTGCCCACAGAGTCGGCTCTGCTAATACCTGTCGGGAATGATCATTAGGAAGAGTCATGGAGCAGCTGCTGTGCCAGCACTGTGCCCCCTGCTTACAAGCCCCCCTTCCAGCGCCACCACCGCCTCCTTGGTGTTCCTTAAAGAACATCAGGGTGGTACGACGAAGCTTCCTCAAGAAGACCTGGGACCCAGGGTCTTCTCACAAAGCGATCCATATATTGCTGTGAGATTAACCAAAAAGCACTGAACGTGCTAAAGATACTGTTCCCTCCACAGGGCCTGGGGCACAGCAGCGGGCCTGGGGTGCGGGGGGATGGCTTTCTGGTTGCGGGGAGAGGGGTATGCTGTGTGTGTGGGGGGGAAGGTCTGGGTGCATGGCATTCCTTGTCAGCAAGAAGCGGATACTGTGGCCCCGGGAGTAATTTATTTGCTAAAATGTAGAAAGGAGGCGGTGGGGGAAGAAAGAAGAAATCAAGGCAGAGCATAGCATCCTTCGGTCTGGGGAAGGCCGCCCACGGCTCCGGCCCCGCAGCCCGTCACTTACGCGCTGGACATGGCCGGCTACTTTCCCTCTTCCCCTCTCCCGCCGGGAAGCTCTTCCGTCGCCCTCCAAACGACGGCCTGGCTGCAGGGGTCGGGACGCCACCGGAGGCGCGCAGGGGGGGCCCTTCCGCGGGGAGGGGCAGGGATCTGGGCCGTCCTCTCACTTCGGGCAAGGACAGGTGACAGCCTGCGACCTGCGATGCTTAGGCACAGAGAGCGGGGTTGGATCGATCCTGGCGCGACCCCGAGGCTCTATCTAGAACTTTGCTGCGGTCACTCGTCCGGACGCGAGGCGGAACCTAGCAACGGAGACACTGCGCCTGCGCAGTGCGCTCTTCTCGGGCAGCTCCCCCCGCCCCCGCCCCCGCACGGTACGCGCCTGCGCCGCCGCCTCTGTAAATACTGGGAAGGGGAGCCGACCTCCAGGGCGACCCGCCCAGTGCGCATTCCCCCGGGCTCGTCGTCCCGTGTGCCCCGCTTTCATCTACCTTCAGATATGTGTCCTCCCCTCCCCCCAAACACACACAGAAGGTCCTGAATGATCGCAGCCTCAGCCTTCCCAGCTGTAAGGCGGGATAACAGCGATTCGTTCGTTCAGAACTTGACTGGGCATCTTCTCTGGGCCAAGAGCAGGCTCAGGCTCTGGCGCACAGGGCAGGTGCGGACGCTGCCCTTCTGGGGCTCACTGCAAATGAAGTGGGGCGCTGGCGTGTTGTGTGAAATGCTATGTGGTTGTTCGTGGCTAGCAAGCCGCTCCGTTCGCTTTCTTTGCTTTTCTTCGTATTTAGTAACTGTTGAGATTTATTTGCCAATGTTACAACCCGCGATTCCTACAGGAACGCGTTCAGAACTCATGCAGTCGAAGGAGCATGATGGGGACGTCCACGTAAAAATGACAGAATGACTCTGGACCACAGAGCCTCTCTCTCACAATTAGTAATGAAATGAACAGAATAGTAAAAACCAGCAAAAAAAAACAAAACAAAACAAAAAAAACAAACAAACAAACAAAAAAAAACAACCCAAGATAAAGCGTGCATCCCGTTCGTTCGAAAACGTAGTACGTCATGCCATAAACTTACGTAACTGTTCTCAATGAAATCGAAGCCTGCAGTAGAGAATGGCATGTATCTCATCCCCACTTTCCAGTATAGACCTGCGCGGGAAGAAGCCAAGTAGACAAAATGCCAAGGGTTCTCACACATTCGATACAAAGAAGACTCCAATCTGCCCAGTGACATGAAAGGGTAGAGTAAGGAAGTTCAGCGTAGAGTAGAAAAAACAAGGCACCCGGGGAAACGGGAGAGAAAACTGTGGTGGGTGGGGACCCATCTGTGCCACCCGCAGGACCTGACCAGAGCTAGCGAAGATCGCCAGGGCTTGCCATTTTTCAGGGCCCTGCACTGACCGCAGGCAAAGAGTCACATTGAAGGGTGTTTTGTCACCAGAAGAAGACACACTCCTAAAGGCGAGGGGGCGGCGGTAAGAGCGTTTACCAAATTCTCGGAGAGAAGTCGGAGCTCGGGCCTGGCCTAGGTCCAGTGGGTCAGTTCTTACCTTCATGGTGTAGACCGGCTACAGACAGTAGGTGCCAGGGCAATGTCCCGGCTCTCAGCCTCGCTCAGAGACAGAAGGAAGTCCAGGAGAATTCATTCGCATCGACTTTGAACAAATAGAAAATTTGCAAAGAGCAACCCATGTTAAATATTGATACGAGAGAAGCAGTATATCTACTACCCAAATCCCAGACTTCAATAAAAGGGGAAGATAAAACAGGGTCATGGTGTGGGAGAGACAGGCGAAGAACCTAGTGTGGAAGAAAACGGAACCAGATAGAAGAAAATGTTTTATATGTGTTCCACGTAACAAGGCACCTGTTACTTTACAGAACATTATTTTTAATAGAACAAGATCTGGGAGAGATGATAGAATAACATAATGAGAAGGAAAAGAAGATTCTATAACTAAAGAAACCAAATGAAAATCAGAGATAGTCCAAGATAGGAACTAACCAAGCAATAGACTGGGCACGATTCGTCTGAATTACTGACTTAGAGGAAAAGCTTTCATCAATCCCAGTGAACGTAGATGAGAAAGACAGGCATTTAAACCTTTAGAAGAGGTTAGCTGACATTCCTGAAAAAGAGATCTCCGATATTAACTTTTTTCAAAGATATAAGGAAAGATTTCTGAAACAGAAAAACTACATTTGCAGATCCGAAGTTCTCACTCTGTTCCAGGAAAAACTGATATTGAGCAACCGACACTAAAGATGTTCAAGTTGTATTATTGAACTTCAGGGAGAGATGGTAGGGGAGTCTGGCTGGCCTCAGACTGCTCCAGAGAGGCTTTCAATGTCAGATGAAAAGGTAACATATTTACAAAGTTCTTGAAAAATGTGACCTAAGGTAGTTCTACTTTCTGAAGTTAATTTTCCCAAATATGAAAGCCCTTGGGAAGTATACTACTCATGTATAAATCGGCATGTCTTCAAATGCAAATAATAGAAAACCCAACGTCCGTCCAGTCGCTCAATTGATGGGAGGGTTTATAATCTCCCTAACAGGAATAGTGGCGAGGCAGTTTCAGAGCTGATTATTTCAGCCGCTCGGTGACATCATCAGTCTCTGACGGGCTCTCCATCTTTTGCAGCCGTCATCCTAGGATGCTGGGTGACTTTCCTCGGGATGATGAAATGTCTGCAGTGGCTCTGGACGTGACCGCCTCACCGTGTAACATCGCGGACCACCCTCGTTGTGTTTGAGCACTCTGGACTTACCCACACTGGGAGAGAGAGGCAGGTAAGAGAACCCAATCAGGTACTCTGCCGGCGCGGAAGAAGGCAGTGTGGGCTGTTACACAGGCGACATTCAGTATGGGCCACAGCCCATCGGCTCTTCCGGAAAGTAAGTTACTTGGTGGCGAAATGCAGCCATCAAAAGATACAAGTCATGTCGCAAAGATGAGCAAGTTCTCACTCTGAGGAGACGTGAAACACGGTCTCCCAGCTGAGACCAAGGACAGTGTTCTCCGAGGAAGCCCCGTGAGCTTCGCCAGTCGCGACACCTATTGACCGCTTATTCTATGCCAGGGACAGTGCAGGACCTGATGTGCATACGGTCACTGAATCCTCTCGTTATTACAAAGTGGATAGCATTTCCGTCTCATCATACACATGCAGAGACGGCAACCCAGAGCTCAAGCACCTGTGCACCCCAGGCTGAACTCCAGCTGGGGCGGAGTCGGTGTTCAAACCCCCTAATGTTACACGAAGACTACACCCCTAAACATCATCTTTCTCGTTGGTAGTAACACCTACCTTAATTAATATTTGTTAAAAAACATTTTTTTGTTGTTGTTGTTAGACGAATATTACTGAAAACTATATCAAATCACTTATTTTTTAAGAAAAAAAGTCATGGCTACCTAATTAGGTAGATATAGTAGGGAAGGTTACTTTGTCCTCGATATTTCATAATTTATGAAGCTTCATAATCCGATTAGAAGGTCCCTGGGAAAATCCATCTTCTCGGTCCTCCTGATACATATGAAGTCATTTGGGCAAACAGTTATTGATGCCCGTTCTATGCAAAGCACAGCAGTCACCGCCGTGCGACAAGAAAAGGTGACTCTGCTATGATGGATCCTGCCCTTGAGGAGAAGAGGAGGCGATTCCCCGGGAGAACCCAGCCTTCATTGTCACAGGAACGACACACCTAGGCGAGCCCCAGAAGTCGTCACATCCGCTTCCAGCCCCTAGAACATGCCCATCTCTTGAGCATCCCTCCTCTGCCGACACACGGCAGTGAGAGGGACCACCTGGCCCCTCTAGAAAGTCCGTCTGCTTTTGGACAGCTCCGTCATCCTTGGCTTTCACGCGCCAGCTCCAGGATGAAATGGAACAGCCCTTTCTCGAGGAGCAGTCCTTCGAGGGTTGAAGCCCATGCCCCCCGCCGTTGTCTCGATTGCAGGGCGAGCACCCTCGAGTTCTTCCACGCGAGGTTTTCGGTTGCCTTGCAGTCGCTCTCTCTGAAGCACTGTTCTCGGGCATGTCCCTCAGACATAGATCAGTGACACGAAGCCTTCTCGGGGGAGCTGGTCTGCACGCTAAGTCCCGACGGGAGCCCTGCTGGGTGTGAAGCACTGTTCTCGGGCATGTCCCTCGGACATAGATCAGTGACACGAAGCCTTCTCGGGGGTGGGGCTGCTCTGCACGCTAAGTCCCGACGGGAGCCCTGCTGGGTGGCCACGTCACACTGTCGATCCACGTGGTGACAGAGTCAGACAAACCTCCAAGTCTTCCTGCAGTCTGTCCTGCAGAGCCACCTCCACCCTTCAGTGTGTCCACGGTCCCACCTCGTTCCGCGTCGTCCCTCTGCTCTGATCCATGTCATCTGCGAAGCGTTCTCTCTGGGAAAGCCAGGGCGCTCGACAACACAGCCGTAGCAACGGGTCCAAGTTCGCATCAGTCGACAAGTTACAACCCTGCCGGACGCCCTATCGTCCGGCTCACCCTTCTCCTGGCCCTCCTCCACCCCGTGAGGGTGCTGTCAGGCGCATCGCCGATGTAGAGCTCTCCCACAGCCGCGACACTGTCCTTACCTACGAGGCTCGTGGCTGTGGACCGTGAAGTTGGGCCGGTCGGCTGCGTCTTGCTTTGACCACTCGGTGTCTCGGCTCCCTCTTCTAAGAACTCACAAGTCATCGCGGTGACCTGTCCGGCTCCACGGGCAGTTCACTAGAGCGGAACCTGGCCTTCTCTTCTTCGACGAGTCACCAGACTCTGCTGTCATGTTTTCCTGGGTACCGAGGTGACTCAACCAGACCCGGGCACTCGGTCCCTCACTCACTCCTGAGTCTCCTTGGAGGCCGTGCCAGAGTCAAAACAGCTCACGTGTCCAGCCCTGGCCTGAGACAACTCGAGCTGCCACCGCAACCAGGGCCCTTTCGCAGAAGTGAGCGAGGGCAAAGCCACCTTTGATAGTCCCTATTGCTATTGGACCCGGGACTAGGTGTGCCTCCCAGGCTGACGTCTGATGGAGTGTGTGCTCAGCAGACGCAGAGAAGCTCGTACTGAGCTACGTGGCTGCCCCAGGGCGGCCGAGGTCTGTGTGAGCAGGACAGTTGATCCGACCGTGAGGCAGGGCCATTATTAAGGACAAGAGGTACAGATGACTGGATAAACGCCATGCGCTTTAGAAATGCCACCGAATGACATTCAGCCATTAAAAAAAATGATGTTCTGACGCACGCCACAACTCAGACGAACCTTGAAAAAGTTAAGCTTATAAACAAGCCGGACACGAAAG